ATATATATATATATATATCTCTATATATATATCTCTATATATATATATATATATATATATATATATATATATATATATATAATATATATATATATATATATATATATATATAATATATTAGTATTAGTGCTTGCATAAATCTTCGCTAGAGTGCTTGATGAATTAAAGTATTGTTTTCAATTGCTTCTCGAATCTTACGCATATAGTTGTTAGGAGTAATAGAAATAAAAGTTATTTGAACCACCTTAATGTTAGCTGGAAGTTCGCTGGGTTTTGGAACAAGATCGCTGGAAATTTCCAGTGAACTTTAAAGATCACTGGAAGTTCGCAAAATATTTATCGAACTAACGAGTTCAATAAATATTTTGTTTCTGTTGGATCAAATTTATCCCAAAAAATTCCTCAAGCAAATAATCCAATAAGTAATCTATTTATCCCTAATACATCACAATTTAATTCGTTTGTACTAACTTTTTAAGAGTTTGAATGCGCTTTTAAAATGCTAAAACCCAACAAATCAGCAGGTGCGGATGATATCAATGTAAATATTGTTATTAAATTATATGAAATCATAAATGATGTACTTTTTAAAATTTTTTCTTGTTCTATTAGGTAGGGAATTTTTCCTAACCAACTAAAAATAGCAAAGGTGATTCCCATATTTAAGGGAGGTGATTTAACTAATGTTAGCAACTATCGTCCCATTTCTATTCTATCTGCATTTTCAAAAGTCTTGAATTTTATACAACAGAATTTATAATCATTTATCTGTAAACAATTTAATATATAGCAAACAATATGGATTCAAAAAAATAACTCGACAGAACACGTAGTTCTCCAGTTTACGAGAAGTATTGCTAACTCTTTTGAAAATTCCCAATATACAGTTAGGGTTTTTATCGACTTAGCTAAAGATTTCGATACAATAGACCAGAATATTCTTTTAAATAAACTAAAGATTTACGGTATAAACGGAAATGCTTTAAATTGGTTAAAAGGCTATTTAATAAATCGAAAACAATTTGTATACGTTGATGTAGTTTCACCAGTAAACTTGCTTGATATAACCTGTGGAATTCCTCAGAGATCAATACTAAGGCCACTTCTTTTTCTTATTTACATCAACGATCTCCATAAAGCCTCAAATTTAATGATGATTATGTTTGCAGATGACACGAACTTACTTTTATCTCATAATGATATTACATTGTTATATCAGAATATCAATAATGAACTAGTAAGAATTTCTGACTGGTTTAAGACAAATAAACTGTCTCTTAATATTGATAAAACGAAATAGATTTTTTTTACATCCAAATAACAAAAAAAAAATTTAACCAAATGAGATGCCACTGCTTTTTGTTGATAATATACTTCTAAAAAAAAGTAACAGTTACAAATTTTCTTGGTATTTATATTGATGAAAATTTGTCATGGAAAAGTCACATAAAAAATTTGAGTTGTAAAATATCAAAAAGCATAGGAATTTTGTATAAAGCGAGGAGTTTTTTAAATAAACATACATTACTTAAACTGTATTATTCGCTCATTCATTGTCACATAAACTATGCGAACATTGCATGAGGTAGTACTACTAAAAGTAAACTGGAACCTCTTTATCGTCAACAGAAACATGTTGCATGCCTTATTAATTTTAAGGATCGATTTACTCATGTAAAGTCTCTATTAATTGAAATGAAAGTTTTAAATATAAACGAGCTTAATATTTTTAACGTTTTATGCTTTATGTTTAAATGTAAAAACAATATTTCTCCTGTACCTTTTCATAATTTGTATAACAAAAAAAAAAAAAACTAAGTACATTTTACGAAATGATAATGACATTCATCAATCAGCTTATCAAACTAATTCTGGAAAATACTCTACTTCATTTCGAGGAGCATTACTTTGGAATAAAATAGTTTTAAAGAATTTTGACTTTTCTCAAGAAGTTAGCTATTACTCTTTCAAACAAAAACTTAAAAAAGTCATTTTTTTATTAGATGATATATCTATATTCTTTTAATTTTTTGTTTTTTTTTAACTTTATATTTAACACTGCATTAATAAAAGTTATAATTTAACAATTTGTAAATAGTTGTTTTACGCTTTTGTTAAAGGTACCCTAAAACTGTATAACAAAACCTTTAACAAAAAGTTCTATGTATTTATAACGGAACAATTTTTCTTTTTCTGTTTTTTAATGTTTTCAATTATTAATTCTTAATTATTTGTTATCTTCAAGTATGTTAAGTATATATTCCTATTGAAATTTATTTATTTTGAGAATATTTTATTAATACGAAATATTAACACATTATATTTTTAGGGGCTCTCGACGACAAGACCTTACGGTCTTTTATGAGTTCCTGCGTTCTTTTATTTCTTAATAACGATCGCACACACACACACACACACATATATATATATATATATATATATATATATATATATATATATATATATATATATATATATATATATATATATATATATATATATATATATATATAATATATATATATATATATATATATATACATATACATTGTTAACGAATATTGATTAAATCATAAAGTTGTAAAAATATAGTACAAAAAAAAAAAAAAAAAAATTCTATTCTATAAAAAAGAATAGGGGAAGGGTGTCACAGAAATTTTATGAGCATTAAGTTATTAAAGAAAATAAAAGAAAATTGTCCCAACAGACATTCAAACCACGGCCTTTCGAAAATAAAGAGAATGCATTATCCAAAGCAGCTAAACGCGCAAGTACTGACTCAGACAAAATAAATATTATATAATAAAAAGGTGTTAATTATGTTGGATGTTTTAAATGAACGTTATGGTTGTTTTATCAATAAGATAAGGCAATGTAAAAATGTGTAACTAAACGGCGTGGAACAATTGAGGCTTAATAAATATGTATACATGTGTGTACGCCTAACCGGGTTTTTCATTCATTTAAAACAAATATGGCATGCATTTAATAATAAAATAAATTTCATTAAATTAAAATAGACTAAACTTAAAATAGACTAAACTTTATTAATAAAAAACAAATTTAAATAAATAGATATATAAACAGTCTTTTTTTTTAATTAAGAGCGAAGTCTTTTTTTTAATAATAGCGAATGTTGAGATTGCGCATGCGTTAAATATTTAATTGAAAATCAAATTGTTTTAATTGATCGTCACAGTGTTTTAAATGAATGTCACGGTTATTTTAAACGGTTGTCATGATTGTTTTAAATGCATGTAAAAACCGGTAATATGAAATCTCTCACAAACAAAAGATATTTATAACTTAAGTCATATATTTTGAAAGCAATTAATTTTTTTAATTAATTATAATAAAAATAAATAAAATTATTTAAACATAACTAAAATTTTATTTAAAAAACAAAATAAAACGTGCTAATAAATAAAATAAACTTTACGAAATGAATCTTTTTTCAATTAAAAGATTGCCTGCTCAAGCCAAACCCTCGTCATTATATTTACTGCATATAGAACTGCGTTAGCATTCCACTGAGCTAGTTTAATTTTAGATTTAAAAACCAATCTAATTTTTTTTTTAAATTCCTTTAAATTCGATAATCTTTATCTTTTATTATTTAAACAAAATAATATAAGATAAAGTGAAAATACACTATCATTAAATAAAGAATATTAGCAGGTTTTTTATGTGCAAATAGACACTTCGTTTAAATAAATGTTTAAAAACGTTTTGTATTTTATATAAACTTTTAAAAAAATTAAAGTTGCATGATGTAACATAATGTATATAATATTAAATATTGCAAATGAATAAGTAATGGCTACTCATTTGCAATATTTAAACCGTGTTTAAAGATTGCAAATGTATAACCACTACTTTTACAATATCTAAGAAAAAAAAATTACTTCCTTGTTGATAGCATTAAAACAAATTTGCAATTTATCTCAAGAACTTAACTTTATTGTTAAAAACTTTTAAATTATGTTTTGTTTCCTAAAAAGTAATCTTTTAATCAACTCTAAATAAATTAAAAATAAAAAAAATTAAAAATAGTTCATTTAAAAATAAAGTAACTTGCACAGCTTTCCTGAAATGGAAATGTATATGGCATGACAGTTTTTATGCATTTTAATGCTAGTTAAGAAATAAATCACTTGCAAAGTAATTTTGTGCAGTCTAAAAAAGTCTGCATAAAAAGTATTTAAAAAAAAATTGTTTGCTTTATAATCTTATCAATCATATGATTCTCATCAACTTTATAATTTCTCATCAATCATATGATTTCCTATCAACCATATGAGTTTTTATTAAATATATGTTTTCTCAACAACCATATGATTTCTTATCAGTTATATGATTTTTTATCAATCATATGACTTTTCACCAGTTATATTTCTCGTTAATCATATGATTTCTCATCATTCATATAATTTCTCATATGGTTTTTTTCTAAAATCATAAGGTTTTTTTTCTAAACTTCTAAGTTTAATTAAGTTTTTTATCAATTCACTCTATAATGCTACAGGTCTTTAAACACTATTTATTTTCCGATGGTTTTTAAACCTACATATAAACTTTTTAACCTAGAATTCAGACCTATAATATAAAAATATATTACCTTTTGGATAACTCCATGTTAAAATGTATTGAAGTACTATAAAACTAGTCGGTGTTTCATATGTAGGATTGCTAACTGGATGTATTGTAACACTTTTAAGACTTGAAAATAATTGAAACGCTTAAAAATATAAATTATTAGTTAAATAAAAATATTATAAAAATTAACGCTTTAAAAAGTATATCATTAGTTAAATAAATATATTATAAAAATAATTTTCAAGTTAAATATAAAGTAGTAGCTTAAATAATGCATAGTTTAACTTTTTCTCCATAAATAATGTAATCTAATATAAAAATCAAAACATAATAAACCGTTATTCTTAAAATATTTGATTTCATTTTTAGTATTTAATGTGATCTAGTTTTTAGTTAAGTGAACACAAGTTTCATATTGAAAACAATCTTTTTGTCTTTTTGTCCACCTAGTAACAGGTAGCGTCATAAATAACACTTGCGCGATGATGACGTCTGCTAAACTTACTTGGCGAAACTTAGTGGAAACTTTTCACGGCGTCATTTATTACTAGATTTAAGTTATGAGCTGCTCAGTGTAGGCAAATAAATATAGACTCATCATGTTTAAGAAGAGATAGACTAGAGATAGTACTGCTCAACATCTTATCCGTTTTTTTCTATTTTTAAACGATTGGAAATTAATATCATACAATTGTAAAGTATCTATTGCTGTATCTTTCAAAACTTTGGATTGGCTTACGAAAGGGCCTACATTTTTTTTAGTTTGACGGAAACTTTTGAAAACAAAAAAAAAAAAAGCAGTTTTAATAAAAATTATTAAAAGGATATATAAAGTTCGTAAATAAATCAAAAGAAATGAACGTAAGAAATGTCGTATTTGAGTTATTTCCACTAAAAAACACATTTCTTTTTTAGTTCAAAAATGAATTGAAGTTTCTTTAGACCGGCTCTAACTGTCGAGCTCAAACCTCTTCTTCATTATTTTACCGTAGCACGTCTTTCTTTTTTATACAAGTACAACTATGATTGCTGCTCAAGTAAGCTATTATTTTTGTTCCATCAATCAAAACTCAGTTTCACACTACTTAACTTTGTATCCGTTAAATATTATTTTTATATCACATAGAAACAACTTTTACATATCTATTTTTCACTTACACATATTAAAGTTTTCGAATTCATACTTTTCTGACAAATTGTCTTCTGGCAACCATTTATTTGCTATTTATTGCTCTTCTCCTTTTTCAAGAAGTTCTAAATTTAATAAATGGTTGCTTGTCTCCTTGTTGAAAGAGAATTTGTTAATTAAATAAAAAAAAAAAATTTTTTTTTGCCCCCATCATTTTTTTACCATATATTTTCCTTAAGATACAGCGTAAAAGCAAATTTTGTTACTTTAATATTCCTCTATAGTTTAGTGAACAATTCCTAAAGTCTACTAAAAATTTATGTTTCCAACTATGCACCTTTCAGATGCAAGTATACATATAAAGCTTTAATTTATAGTTATAAATTCCTCCAAAAGTTCAAAATTCCTCAACATTCCTAACTACAAAAACAATTTGTATAAAAATTATATTTTTTTTAATTTGGTTTTTGTATTAAGATTTATTGATACAAATTGAAATAACAATTTAACTTAACAACAATTTTTTAGTACATAAGCTCGAATTAGTTTATTAAACATTTTATTTTTATCAAATTCTTTATTAGCAGTTGTTAATAATTTTTTGTTAACAAATAAATAGTTTTGTTTTAAAAAACTTGAGTCACGTCTTTTATTCAAACTTTTAAATCACAAATGAAAAAACAAAAAAAAACATAAACTTAACTAAATTTATTTTTCTTTAAACACTTTTGAACATTTAACATGTTTAACGTCGATTTAACAATTTTTTAATAATTAAATTAAATAAATTTAGCAAATTTTAAGCTAAAATTTATAACTTAAGTTTTTTGCTACATTCTACATGTTTGTTGATACTTTATTTTATCATTATTAGTATTAATATTTAAATTTTTCGTTAAAAACTGATCTCATTTACAAGACATTCATTGGTAGCAAAAATTAGTTGCATAATGTAATAACTAATTTTACATTAATTACAAATAACTACACACTTGTAAGATTTGAAGATATTGTAGTTGATGTAGTGTATCCATTGTAGTTAATAGGGTATACATTTACTTGAAACGTAACTCCAGGTCTATAACTGTTTATATCTCCAAAAAAACAAAACCTTTCTTCAAGCATAATAAACATGTTTTCGCTTTCCTAAAATAAGAACAAAATGAGTTGTGTATTTACTTAATAAACAATATTTAACTTTAAATAAAAACGTTCTGAAAAAAACAATTTTTTCATCATATTTAAAACCCTATAAAATCAAAAGTAAATAATAAAGAGACTGGCTTTTATTTAATTTATACTGCTTAGTCAATCATTATAAAGCGTATTTTTAAAATAGAAATTTTAAAAGTATAAGAGCATAGCATCATGGGTTAAAGAGACATCCATGTCTTACGTCATATCAATCAAATGAAACTATATTCAAGTTTATTTTTTTTATAAAAAATAAAAAATCTATTATTATATCCAAAAAAATGCTCAGAGTCATGTATTGGACAAAAAGGTAAAAATAATGGTTTTCAGTTCATTTAAATATTTCAGATTCATGTCATAACAAAAAACTTTTTTTATTTTATGATAAAAAAGGAGCATTAATAAGTTCAGGAAAAAAACTTAAGGGTCAAAAACAATATAAAGTGTAAAATTGAGGTATTAGCCCTTTTAAGGTGGTAGTATACCATTAAAAAAATTTTGATTTTCAACTTTTCTATTCAATTATTATTGGTTCCTTATAATTATAATTTTTTGTAGTTGTAGCAGTAATTCTCATATAATGATCAAACACATCGACAGGAAAATCACCCCATTATAAACAACCAAATATTTTCCCCAACCAGGAGTCTAGACTACTTTTAAAATAAAGTGCGATGGAGTAGAAGGTTATTTGCTCAAGTTTCACAATTTTGCTGATCAAATGGTTGTACCTTGGAATACAGTTTAGAAGATACTCACGCCTTATTTTACGACAAAACAAAGAGTTAATGAATTTTTGTAGGTATATATTGTTAACTATATCAAAACGGTATGTTAACTTACGACTTAGATCAAATTGCAACAAAAACGCCAAAACCAAAGTAGAGATAAATTTAATCTTTTGAGCTTTTCGCAGTATTGAAGATCCCTCAAGCTGAAAGTCCATTTTTTTAATAGCGTTGAACAGATTTGACCGAAGTTATATCAGTTTTTAAATAAGCGTCCAAATAGACATTCCATATTAAAAGTGTGGTCTTATAAACACTTTATTAAACTTGAGAACAATCTTTTCATCAATGAAAAGTGAATGTCTTTAATATCATTCTAAGAATTTGTAAAGATTCAGAGACAACTGTTTGAGTTTATGTACTCCACTTGAGGTCAAATACAAAAATGACTTTTAAATCATGCTATTTAGTAGAGCTTCTTTGGCATTGATTTATTCCTTGTTTCTTCTGCAAAATTTAGTTTTAATTAGAGCTGGTTTTACCATAGAGAATATCATAATATTTTGAAATTTTTAACTTAATAACCAAATTTTTAACTTAAGTGACCACTCGTATACCAAAGGTAGGCGATCTCGTATATCAAAATGATTAGTATGCAAAAAGGTTGTACAAAAAAAGTTTTGTATAACTGATATATGCTTTAGTGGTTTTTAGTAAGTTTTACGAGATAATTTGTGTAAAGAATAAAGAGAAGCAGGCTGAGAGCTGAACCTTAAGAAATACCACTGAGAACATGTACAATTATTTTTACTAAGCTCTTGTGTTCAATTAATATTTGAACAAAACCTATCAAATAACAAATCTCAGTTTTCCAATTGCAAAGTTTCTTAAACATTAAATAAACACAAATTCTTTACACAAATTTAAGCATTTCAGTATCAATATTATTTTTTTTAGCAGACTAAAGTTCATGTCAAAGTTAGAATCTGTATTTTAAAGATCAAAAGCAAAATGTGTAGCATATTCATCAAAGGTAAAAGTTTTTGTTTCTCAGGAAAAAAAAAATTTATATCCTTTTCCACGAAACTTTGCTTTTTTATCATTGTATATTTTGTTTGATAATTGTTTTATTTTTGATCAAATCATTGTCATTTTTTTTAAAAATGGTAAAAGAGCAACAACATCAGGTATTTTAGATGCATGTAACAAGAAAATTTAAAAAAAGGAAAAGAAAGTTTGTAAAATTTGTAACAAAAGCTGGTAGTCGCAATTGGATCAAAGTGAAAAACTGAGGGGGTCTAAGACCATTTAAGTTGTTATGAAGGCTATAGCAAAAAAATTGTTTAAAATTCAAATAAATAAACAAAAATTAAAGCAATATAAATATTTAAAATATCTTTTTAATACAAAACTCATTATCCAAAAGAATTGAAAAGCAATTCTTCCTGTATCAGAGCTGTATTTATACACTAACGCCTAAATAATATCTTCTTCTAATAAAACTAAGTTGAAAGTTGCTTTTGATGTTAAGTACATTTTTTTACAAGTTTAAATTTGTTTCTTGTAGGTTTAAACTTGAAATGAGGTCTAGACACCGCTGTAAACTTTTCAGAAAACTTGGATGTCTTGAATAGATACAAATAAGTTGGAAATCTTGAATAGATACAAATAAGTTTTTTAATATAGAAAATGTTAGTCTGTCAAACTCTTGCGACTCTCCTTAGAATCTGTCAAACTCTTGCGACTCTCCTTAGTCGCAAGAGTTTAACAGATTCAAATTTTTTTTTTTGCTGATTTAACCTTTTCCGTAAACTTTGAAATCAAAGTTACATAAAACAGGAACAATGAAAAAGCGAAAGAAAAAAAAAAGATAGTAAGCACCATTTCAATAGTTGCTGATTCTGTTTTCACGGTACTTTTTGTTAAAAGAAATGTTTTGCATTTAAAGAACATTTTCTGTTGTCTATTTTCTGTGGGTAGGTAATGTTTAAAAACACATTAGAAGTGTTTATCTAAAAGACACACACAGTATGTGTTTGTCTACATTATTAAAATTTAACGCTGTTTGTAAATTCTATCTATTAGAATGTTACTTACAAAGATTTATTTTTCTATATTAAAGTTAGCATATGATACAATTGGTAATTAATGCATGGTCATTGATGTATCAATTGATATGTTTTAATAGCTTTTTTAATTTTTATACAAGAAATTAAGTAATGTTGATGAAAAAGAAGAAATTGTGTTTAACAAATAGGCAAGTAATGAGAGATTGCAAATAATTACTATGACTGTTGCTTTATTAGAACATAGTGAATTTCCTGTGTTATTTTAATTAAAGTCAAACTCACTGTTTGAAAGAGATGAAAAATAGTTCAGTTTAGGAAGTATTTTTTATCCTGACAGATTTTTCAGAGAACTATCAGTTTTTATTACAGTATGAAATACAATGTTACCATTGGAATAAAAAACAAGGTACATTACACTTAGTTTTTATTTATCTCAATAAAAATTCCAAACAAATATTTAAGCATATGTTGATCTATTTTTTACGTTGGCAATGACCATTTTACTTGAAGACAACTCTTATATGGCTCTTGATTAGAATTTTTTTGAAGTCATACAAAAAGTCAACTCCCTTTCCCTCTTTATAAGTAACATATTATGTAGATTTATTATTCTTTTTTTTTTCTGTTTTAGGTATGACCAAGCTTTAATTCTTTCTTATAATTTCACTAAACCAAAGCATATCAGTTATACTGAAAACAAGAAACAGTTTAGTACTATATAAACTATATAGCTAACTTATTTGAGTTTCTTTAATTCATAAACCTCCTTAGTTTGTATACTTGCTAAGTCGCCGTAAAAATTTTCCTCTAGATATGCAAACTTCGCTAGCTTGTTAACACCAAAAGCTACTAGACATAAAGTTTTAAAACGCTATTCTAGTTCATGAATTCAAACACCTGAAGCCAAGAGTCTTGCTCAATTGATTAGTTTCAATGGAACAAAGAAAGCAGATATCTTAAAAATATATCATTAATCTTAATACATAATACAACCTTTCACCATCCCATTCAGGGGTGACCAGAGTGCAGCCATGGCAACTCAACGTCGGTCAACGTCGGTCAACGTTGTAAAAAAGAGAATAATTAAAAAGACTAACTAGAAAAAATTTATGTGGTTGGTCCTGCCTTGTCACCTATTTAGAATCTTTAATTAACACTACCTGAATAGGCGTAAAATGACCAGACATACTTAATTTCTAACTTTGGAACCTTTACTTGAATTTTTAAAACACTGTTTAAACAATAAAAATCAAAAAGTTTAAGTCAATATGTCTTTGTACTTTCACAAAAAATGTTGCTTTAAAAAAATGCAATATTTAATAGACAAGGCCAATTAAAATATACATATTATCAAAACCGTTATATTTTTAAAAATAAACTGAAGTAAAAAATAAATAAGTTACGAAGTAATAGATTTTAATTTTAAACTTACAAAATTTTTATAAAAGGTTGTCTGGAGCCAACATAATAGTTGCATTTCAATAACTTTCAATATTTGTGGTCTTTGATATTTTTTTATTGCATGTTTACTACTATAAACGAGAGACAGGACATCGTATGAATGAAAAACAAAGTGTTAAGAAACGGCAACCTTTATGAGACTCTTTCCCTTCTGAAAAAGGTTACAACTCTTCATCTTTTCTACTAATACTGTCATGGTTATTGTTAAGCTGTAGCCATGACCATATTTGTAGGAAAGATGAAAAATTGACAAAGATGACACAATTCTATTCTATGCACATAATGAATAAAATATTTTTATGTACATAATGAAATTAAGTTAGTTAACAAAGAGCTATTAAATCTTACTGAATGGTTTAATGCAAACAAATTATCTCTAAATGTAACCAAAACAAAATATACTTTTTTCCATCGTTTTCACGACCGAGATAAAATTCCTTTAAAACTTTTAAAACTTTGTATTGCCAATCAGGACATACAAAACCACTTTTTATGTCCTGATTGGAAGGATTTTTGAGCATGTTTTCTTTGGGAACAGACGTGTTTTTACAGCATAAGAATTTAAAAAATAAATTGATTTCAATATTTTAACGTTTAGTATTTAATTATCATTAAAACCGGAAATACTTTTTAAATTTATTAATCTACAAACACTTAATTTTTTGAAAAAAATGGAAGTTACAATAAAA